CAACATTAGTTTGATGATATTGTTGTTGCCTTTTCTATTTTTCTATTTCTATTTACTGTAGATTATGAGACCAAGTCTCCGTACTTTGGAGCAATTTGTGGCCGGGTGGCCAATGTGGTAGCTGGTGCTCAGTTTGACCTGGAAGGACAAACCTACAAGTTGTACGAGAACCGACCGCCTCTCTCTGTGCATGGTGGCAAGGCTGGATTCGACAAGGTTACGTTTTGGTTTTCGTATGAGTATTACACCTTTTGTTTTGGTTTTCGTAAGAGTATTACACCTTTTGTTTTGGTTTTCGTAAGAGTATTACACCTTTGTTTTGGTTTTCGTAAGAGTATTACACCTTTGTTTTGGTTTTCGTAAGAGTTTTACACCACTTGAAACACAATTAGATCACGGATCGTAGTGCAGAAGTTTTATGGTTTAGAGGTTTTACTAGAGGAGAGCATCCAGACCAGACAAAAAAGGAGAGATAAGGATGATAGATTAGGGATAGGGAAGAAGGAGCAAAACACACCCGAACCCCTGCAAATCATTCAAGGTTTCCTTTATTATGATTCTGTTTTATTGATGAGGGAGAAAAGAAAGCAAACGTAGAGGCAAAAGAGGAAAGGGGAGACCTAAAAGAAGATGGGAACAGGGCCTTGAAACCTGGCTTGAAACCAAATCAACTCAGGCAGACAGAATGGCAAGACAAAGAGTGGTGTAGGGTAGGAATGTCCGCGAAGCAATGTCCAACCACTGGAAAGACTAAGAAGGAGATGGAGAAGAAGAAGAAGAAGAAGAAGAAGAAGAAGAAGAAGAAGAAGAAGAAGAAGAAGAAAAAGTAGAAAAAGAAATAATAAAATAATAAATAGACTCACACTTCCTTAATACCCTTTGGGAGATCTGAAAGTGTCAGTAACAAGGGACATTTTTCATAATACAAGATTTTTTAGAGCATTCTAGAGGAGAATTGAACCATGATCGGAGACGTGTTTTTTAAAATGTATTTTCTGATGATGATGATGATGATGATGATGATGATGACGACGATGGTGATTTATGGATTTTATTAAGGAGAGGAACCATGAACGTAGCTGTTTTTCTTCAAATCTAGCTCTTTACGATAATGATTATTTTCATTATATGATTTTTAGAGCATGATGATGATGATGATGATGATGATGATGAGGCTGAAGATGACGATAACGATGATGATGAGGCGGAAGATGACGTTAACCAAAATGATAATGATGATAAATGATGATGATGCATCTGGCAGAAAACCTGGCAGGCTGAGGTAGTGGGGGACAACAAGCTGTCGCTGACGTACGTCAGTCCACACCTGGAGGAGAACTACCCCGGAGAGCTGACGTCATCGGTCACGTACAGCCTGGATGACCACAGCGCCCTCACGCTGCAGTACGCTGCCACCACCACTAGGACCACCGTCCTCAACCTCACCAACCACGCCTACTTCAATCTGGCTGGCCATGTAAGTGCTTGTCATGGTAATAATAATAATAAAATTAATAATATGAATAATAATATGAATAAGAATGATAACAATAATAATAATAATAATCATGATAATGATAATGATAATATCAGTAATAATAATCATCATCATCATTATCATCACAATAATAGTGATGATCATGATAATCATGATAGTAATAATAATAATAGTTGTAGTAGTAGTCGTAGTAGTAGTAGTAGTAGTAGTAGTAGTAGTAGTAGTAGTAGTAGTAGTAGGAGGAGGAGGAGGAGGAGGAGGAGGAGGAGGAGGAGTAAGAGTAGTAATAGTAGCAGTAGTGTTCATTATAATAATGATAACTATAACGTCATCCATAATAATGATGATGATAATAATAATTTTTTTAAAAATTATAATAATATAATAATAATAATAATAATAATGATAATAATAATAATAATATTTAAAATAATAATAATAATCATCATCATCATCATAAAAAATAATAATTACATAATGATAAATGATAAATGATAATATAATAACATGGTAATAATCATGATATATTGTGATGTTTGTGAATTTTAAAAAAAATTTTTTTTTTGGCTCAACACCCTTCATTCCCATCAAAAAACTCGTTTCTGTTTGGATTTTTCTGAAAAACGTTGATTAAAGGAACAAAAAATATATTTTTTCAGCTACCACGGACTCTTAAGCTAAGGAAAAAACAAAACTTTGGCGGCCTTTTTCTTACTAATTTTACCTCTGAAAAGAAGTGACCCCCACCTCCTTCTTTTGCAAATATCTCGACTTATCTTATAGATAAATGGATATTATTTTCTTCCAAACAAAGACAAGTGAACAAGCTTTAAGATGATACAAATAACTCTACATGCCCAAAAATTGACGAGAGCCTATGATAGGTGGCTGTTCTGCTGTTT